AATTCATGTTTGCTATCGTATGATTTTATGTGATTATGTGTAATCGTTTTAATCTTTGCAAGCATGATAATTGGTTTAAACGCGAGCATGTTAATTGATTTAAATTCGGTTAAATTATTTAGCATGTATGTTGTTTTTAATTTCGCTGGAAGCGCAAAGGTACGCAATTAATTGATTTAATTTGTCGGGCATGTACATGTGTGATTTAAAGTCGTTTAATTCGCATAAAACTTTTGTTTTTCCGCTGCGTATGCGTGCCCGAAACCCAACACAAGGCAGTATGTTTCTACTCCTCCTCAGCTATAATTGCTTGTGACTCATTTACGAAGTTTCGCAATACTGAGTGTAAAATCTTATGATTTACGATTCAAATCTTACGATTCAATCCCTTCATACCCAAGTCGATTCAAAAGTTAAAATAAATCTTAAATATCAACAAAACGATCAAATTACGATTTAAGATATAAGAAAACTTTAATTTATTATATTAATTTTAATAAACTTGTGATGATTACAGTTTTGATCCCTATATTATATACCATTTATAATTTTGTTCCTTAAACCGGAAATGCCCCCCAAGTGGAGGTTAATTTGTAATTTCCGAAAATCCACCTCCCTGGCTGAAATAGTTGTGAAGATTGCAGAATCAACCCTATACTTACTCCATCTTCCTAACCGCTACACCCAAATTGCATATTTGACTCCAAAGAGTGGATCTCTCTTTCACTATCCAAAATATCCGTCACATTTACTAAAATTCGCAATAACGAGCATACAATCTTATGATTTACGATTCAAATCTTACGATTCAATTCATTCATATCTATATCGATTCAAATGTTCAAATAAATCTTAACTGTCAACAAATTGATCAGATTTTACAATTTTTGGTCCCTATATTATTAAACCTTTTTTTTTTTAATTTTGATCCTTAAACCAAAAATGAACCCCAAGTGGGGGTCAATTTGTAATTTTTGGAAGTGCACCTCCCTGGCTGAAACAATTTTGAAAATTGCGGAATCACTTATATACTTACTCCATCTTCCCAGCCGCACTACCCAAATTGCAAATTTGACCCCAAATTGGATCTCTCTTGCAATATCCGCCACCAACGCAATATGCTTCGACTCCTCATCAGTTATAATCGTGTGTGACTCAGTTACAAAAATTCGCAATACCGAGTTTAAAATCTTATGATTTACGATTCAAATCTTACGATTCAGTCTGTTCATACTTAAGTCGATTCAAAAGTTAAAATAAATTTTAAATATCAACAAAACGATCAGATTTTACGAATTACAATTTAAGAAAATTTTAATTTATTATATTATTTATAATAAACTTGCGATAATTACATATTTGATCCCTATAGTATATACCATTTATAATTTTGGTCCTTAAACCGGAAATGCCCCCCAAGTGGAGGTTAATTTGTAATTTCCGAAAATCCACCTCCCTGGCTGAAATAGTTGTGAAGATTGCAGAATCAACCCTATACTTACTCCATCTTCCTAACCGCTACACCCAAATTGCATATTTGACTCCAAAGAGTGGATCTCTCTTTCAATATCCAAAATATCCGTCACATCTACTAAATTTCGCAATAACGAGCAAACAATCTTATGATTTACGATTCAAATCTTAAGATTCAATTCATTCATATCTATGTCGATTCAAATGTTCAAATAAATCTTAACTATCAACAAATTTATCAAATTTTACGATTTTTGGTCCCTATATTACATATATTTTAAAAAAAAAATTGTCCTTAAACAAGAAATGCACCCCAAGTGGGGGTCAATTATTCATTTGAATCTTATGATTTACGATTCAAATCTTACGATTCAATTATTCATACTATTTCGATTCAAATGTTAAAATAAATCTTAAATATCGACAAAACGATCAAATTTTACGATTTCCGATTTAGGAAAACAATAATTTATTATATTATTTATAATTAACGTGTTATAATTACTATTTTGGTCCCTATATTATATCCCATTTTTAGTTTTGGTCCTAAAACCGAAAATGCCCCCAAGTAGAGGTTAATTGGTAATTTCCGAAAATCCACCTCCCTAGCTGAAGCAGTTCTGAAAATTGCATAATCACCCCTAAACTTACTCAATCTTCCTAACTGCTCAACCCAAATTGCAAATTTGACCCCAAAGTGGATCTCTCTTTCAATATCCAAAATATCCACCACATTTATGAAAATTCGCAATATCGAGCATAAAATCGTATGATTTACGATTCAAATCTTACGATTCAATTTATTCATATCTATGTTGATTCAAATGTTAAAATAAATCTTAAATATCAACAAATCGATCAAATTTTACGATTTTTGGTCCCTATATTATTATACCTATTTTTTTATTTTGGTCCTTAAACCAGAAATGCACCCCAAGTGGGTGTCAATTTGTAATTTTTGGAAATCCACCTCCCTGGCCGAATCATTTTTTAAAATTACAGAATCACCCCTATACTTACTCCATCTTCCCAGCCTATCCACCCAAATTGCATATTTAACCCCAAAGTGGATCTCTCTTGCAATATCTTAAATATCCGCCACCAACGCAGTATGTTTCAAGTCCTCCTCAGCTATAATCGCGTGTGACTCATTTACGAAAATTCGCATTACCGAGTTTAGAATCTTATGATTTACGATTCAAATCTTACGATTCAATTTATTCATACCTAAGTCGATTCAAATATTAAAATAAATCTTAAATATCGACAAAACGATCAAATTGTACAATTTACAATTGAAGAAAACTTTAATTTATTATATTATATATAATAAACATGTTATAATTACAGATTTGGTCCATATATTATATACCATTTTTAATTTCGGCCTTTCAACCGGAAATGCCCCCAAGTGGAGGTCAATTTGTAATTTCCGAAAATCCACCTCCCTCGCTGAAATTGCAAATTTGACCCCAAAGAGTGGATCTCTCTTTCAATATCCAAAATATCCGCCACATTTACGAAAATTCGCAATAACGAGCATACAATCTTATGATTTACGATTCAATACATTCTTATCTATGCCGATTCAAATGTTAAAATAAATCTTAAATATCAACTAATCGATCAAATTTTACGATTTTTGGTCCCTATATATTACATACATTTTTTTTAATTTGGTCCTTCAACAAAAAATCCACCCCAAGTTGGGGTCAATTTGTAATTTCTGGAAATCCACTTCCCTGGCCGAAACAGTTTTGAAAATTGCCGAATCACCCATATACTTACTCCATATTCCCAGCCGCTCCGCCCAAATTGCAGATTTAACCCCAAAGTGGATCTCTCTTGCAATATCCAAAATATTTTAAACTCGGTATTGCGAATTTATGAAAATTCACAATACCGAGTTTAAAATCTTTTGATTTACGATTCAATTATTCATACCTAAGTCGATTCAAATGTTAAAATAAATCTTAAATATCGACAAAACGATCAAATTTTACGATTTACGATTTAAAAAAACAATATTTTATTATATTATTTATAATAAACGTGTTATAATTACTATTTTGGTCCCTATATTGTATACCATTTTAAAGTATTTAAACCGGAAATGCCCCCCAAGTGGAAATCAAGTTGTAATTTCCGAAAATCCACATCCCTGGCTGAAACAGTTGGGAAGATTGAAGAATCACCCCTATACTTACTCCATATTCCTAGCCGCTCCACCCTAATTACAAATTTGATTTCAATATCCAAAATATTCGTCACATTTATTATCACAAGTTTATCATAAATAATATAATACCTTTAAAGTTTTCATAAATCGTAAATCGTAAAATTTGATCGATTTGTTGATATTTAAGACAACAAATCCACCTCCCGTCCGACACAGTTTTGAAAATTGCATAATCACCCCTATATTACTCCATCTTCCCAGCCGCTCCACCCAAATTTTACCTAATCGTAAAAAAAAGATAAAAAAAGATGCAGCCTAAAAATCGATTTATGAAAGTATGTCGAAAATACATAATACGATAAGTTCTTGAATTCACCCGAGACACCCGGCACCGCGCATTGCGCGGTGCTCTACACTAGTATATATATATATATATATATATATATATATATATATATGAGTAAACTGCAAAAACTACCCCTGTGTAATCTCGAAATAGCAAAAACCCCCCTGTGATAAATAAACTAGCAAAAACCTCCCCTGTGAAATTATTTAAATAGCAAAAACCCCCCTATGGAACTATTTGAGGGTTGACTTGATATAAAAAGACACAAATACCCATGGAGTCTTGCAATTAATAAATTCTTATATTTTATAAATATTTTAATTATTTTATTTAAAAAATAATCAATTTAGTTGTTTACTATTTTTTTTAATTTCTAAACAAATAAATTAAAAAGAATAAATATACATATAATATGTATATATATAAATACATTTTGAGGGACAATTTTGTCATTTCAAGTCTCAAAAATCAGCTAGGGGGGATTCTGCCTTTGACTAAATTTCACAGGGGGGTTTTTGCTAGTTTATTTATCACAGGGGGGTTTTTGCTATTTCAAGATAACACAGGGGTAGTATTTGCAGTTTACTCATATATATATATATATATATATATATATATATATATATATATATATATATATATATATATATATATATATCATATATGTATACAGTATATATATAAACGGAGATATATATGTACAAAAGTGAAAAGTATTATAATTATTTGAAACCCTAATTGGCCCCCTATCTCTCTCCTCGTCTTTCTTCAGCCTCCCCCAACTCTGCTTTCTCTTTTTTTCCACCACCGGCGCCCGTGTTCTCCGACGACCACCACCAGCGCCGCCCGTATTCTCCGATCGACGACCACCACCAGCGCCGCCCGTGCTCTCCACGACCACCACCAGCGCCCGCCCGTAATCTTCTGCTACTGTGTCGGTGGGAGTGAAGGACTATTTTTTTTTCTCAAAAAAGTCTGAAAATTCTGAAAAATTCCGATTTTCCGAAAATTCCGAAAAAATCGGAATCGGAATCGATTCTTGAATTCCGAAAAAAGGGAATTGGACACCGTCCCCTCCCCAATTTCTTCCACCAACACACCCCGTTCTGGAAACCCTAAAAGTTCTTCGTCCAGAGGAAGATAATTTTCTAGGTTTCTACCGCCTCTCTGCGGATTCTTGCACATCGGCTGCTTATTACGAGGTGATTCAGTCTTTTCATGTTTCCATATATCTATTCTTTTATGTGATGAGTGAAGCGTACTTGTATGTATCTTTTCTGGAATCTTTTTTATTTGTTGTGTGCAATTTAATTAATCAGGGGCATCTGTTTGCTTATATATATTTTATGGTTGCTACCCTGACCACTAAATCGTAAGGGTTTTGGGGGTTTTGAATTCAGTGATAATTATATTACTCGTCCTCTTGTTATTCTCTTTGGGCGCAAGGCTAGGGTTTCGATTCCCGACAACTTCCTACCACTAAAGGCTGTATCTGTTTCATTTTTGTCTAATTAGCGATAATATATGTGGCCTTTCTTTCTTTGTATATTTTGAATTGGGATCCTAATATTAAAGATAATTATATTATCATCTTCTGACAACTCAAGCGTATTTTGAATTGTGTACTGTCTTTGCTTCTACATCCCAAAGTTTTCAGATAAATTAGAGAGTCATGACATGAAGCTGTCCTATTTTTTTATGTTTGGAATTGGCCTTGAAGCCGTTGTTGTTGTTTCTGACAATGGTTGTTGTTTGCAGATTAAGAAATGCTGGGTGATTTGCCAATATTGCCCCTTCCGGCACCACCTACTGATGGGAATCTTGGCCCGTTACCACCCGCTCAAGTGGTTGAGGACTCGATTGATGAAGATCAGATGAATGTTGACGATAACTCCAACTCAGCTCCAGCATCTGTAGCAACACATACAAGGACTATAGGAATTATTTACCCCCCTCCGGACATCAGAAATATTGTAGACAAAACTACTCAGTTTGTGGCGAAGAATGGACCAGAGTTTGAGAAGAGAATTATTATAAGCAATGATGGAAATGCAAAATTCAACTTCTTACGTTCCTCTGATCCTTACCACGCGTATTATCAGCACCGTCTAGCTGAAGCACGGGCTCAAAATCAGTCTTCTTCCCAGCAGCAGCCTGGCGAGCCTGTTCCTGATTCAGCTCTTACTGCTGCAACCGCTGATACAAGTGATGCTTCAGATAAGCCCGATCCTGCAGCCCAATTCCGACCTGTTCGTAAGGTTCTTGAGCCACCGGAGACAGAGCAATATACTGTTCGACTTCCTGAAGGGATTACAGGGGAGGAGCTGGATATGATTAAGCTTACTGCTCAGTTTGTGGCCCGTAATGGTAAATCATTTTTGACTGGTTTGACAAGTAGAGAGAGCACTAACCCTCAGTTCCATTTTCTGAGGCCAACACACAGTATGTTCATGTTCTTTACATCGCTTGCTGATGCATATTCTAAAGTACTGATGCCTCCTAAAGGGTTGACCGATAAGCTCAGAAACAGTGTTGCTGACTTGACAACTGTCCTCGAGCGCTGTTTGCATCGCCTTGAGTGGGAACGGTCACAAGAACAGGCTAGGCAGAAAGCTGAAGATGAGATAGAGCAGGAGAGAATGCAGATGGCTATGATTGATTGGCACGATTTTGTTGTGGTGGAGACAATAGACTTTGCTGATGATGAGGATGAGGATTTACCGCCTCCAATGACACTCGATGAAGTTATAAGGAGAAGCAAGATGTCCACAATGGAAGAAGAAGATATTATTGAGCCTGGGAAGGAGGTAGAAATGGATATGGATGAAGAAGAGGTCCAACTGGTTGAGGAGGGTATGAAGGCAGCTAGCCTGGAAGATAATGGTGATATGACGAATAACGAAGCCAAACCTACTCCAGAAGAGCACGAGCCACCCATGAGAATTGTGAAAAATTGGAAGAGGCCAGAGGATAGAATCCCAGCTGAAAGAGATCCTACTAAGTATGTTGTCTCTCCGATTACTGGAGAGCTCATTCTCATCAATGAAATGTCTGAACACATGAGAATTTCTCTTATTGATCCCAAGTATAAGGAGCAGAAAGACAGGATGTTTGCCAAGATAAGGGAGACAACCCTTGCAGCAGATGATGAAATTTCTAGGAACATTGTGGGGCTTGCAAGAACCCGTCCTGATATTTTTGGCACTACAGAAGAAGAGGTTTCTAATGCTGTCAAAGCCGAGATTGAAAAGAAGAAAGATGAGCAACCAAAACAGGTTATATGGGATGGTCATACTGGAAGTATTGGCCGTACAGCAAACCAGGCCATGTCTCAAAGTACTGGTGGTGAGGACCTAAACGATGCTTTGGTCAATGATGGTAGGGGCCTTCCCGGTCCAGCACCTCCTCCTCCCAGGCCTGGTATGCCATCAATTAGGCCATTGCCTCCACCTCCTGGTCTTGCCTTGAATATACCGAGGCCTCCCGCAATGGTCCAATATTCTAACTCAGCTAGTGGTGGGATCATTGCACCACCTCCCGGGCCTCCAGTTATTAATATGATTCCTTCTATTCGCCCGCCACCTCCTTCGATGCCAATGATGCACGGACAACATCTTATGGCCAATCGTCCTCCAATGCCGCCACCCAGTATCCCGGTTCCACCACCACCCGGATCCCAGTTTACCCCTTTAGGTAGCCATAGGCCTTTTCTTCATGTTCCTATGTCTCACCAAGGTATGCCTATGGTTCCTCCACCACCTATGCTCCAAGGCATGCCTCCACCTCCACCCGAGGAGGCTCCTCCACCTCTACCTGAAGAACCGGAGCCCAAGAGGCAAAAGCTTGATGACTCTATGCTCATTCCTGAAGACCAATTCTTGGCACAGCATTCGGTATTTGAGCTTTTTATTGTCTGTCTTATTAGTAATATATACCCTGGCATGTCACCCTCTTTCTGTTTTTTGTATTTACTAATTCTTGGGTATACCTCTTGAACATGATCTAATGAGTTGTATGTTATATTGACATGGTTGCAGGGTCCTGCTCGTATCAGTATATCTGTGCCAAATGTCGATGAAGGAGATCTGAAAGGGCAACTACTGGAGATTACTTTACAATCCTTGTCTGAGACAGTTGGCAGTTTGAAAGAGAAAATCTCTGCTGAGATCCAGCTTCCTGCAAACAAACAGAAGCTGAGTGGCAAAGCTGGTTTCCTCAAGGACAATTTATCGCTGGCATATTACAATGTTGGACCTGGAGAGGCGCTGTCTCTTTCTCTTAGAGAACGTGGTGGTAGAAAGAGATGAATTCCACTTAAGTCGTGAATTCTCTTAAAGGTTAATGGTGGTTCTTATTATGATGTTCTCAGACAATATTGTTTTCATTTCATTCTACTTAGGTTAATGATGGTTTTGTACTTTTAAACGTTTAATATCTTATGCTACTCAATATGATATCTACTGTAGATCTGGCATGTTGGTGATTGTCGCTTGGGGTATCTGGTAGTTATCCGGTTCTACGCCCAACGAGCATTGCTTAACTTAGATGGCTGATTCATTGCTTTTATTTTATGTGTGCAGTCTCTTCCTTGGTCCACTGATGTGACTTTGGTGATTCACAATTTATCTGGATTCTTGCAAGCTATACTTGTATTCACGAATTCTGACATTTCTTCCTCTTCTTCTTCTATGTTGTAGGAACGGACTGTTGAAGTTTGTGCTCCAGAGTATTTCTTGTTTTTTCGAGTAGATTGACTTGTGTTAATCTTTATACAGTCGATACCTTCTAAATCTATTTTTAACTTTTTATGTATTGTTCTAGGGGTATCTTGAAGCTTTGCTTACACGGTTACACCTGTCTTATTTTGTTCAGTTGGTTTGTGGTGGTTGAGGTTATCAAAGATTCTTTTTGTTTCTCACAACAGCTATGTTCCTTGTCTGGAATTGAATATATTGTTGGGACCATTAGGTATTGAAAAATACTGTTCAAAGAGTCCAAGCAGGTAGAGATGAGTTATTTCTACTTCCCTATTTTACCCTTTTTTTTTTCACGCAATGTCACTGCAGATGTGAAAGATCTGCCGGTTTTTTTTTTTGCAGCTTGGCTTGGAATTGTACAGAGCGGAGACTGCTTATCCATTCCTGGGGTTGGGATTTTTTTGTATCTGTGTTTATTAACTTTTTATGGTTCATCTTCTTCACAGATCTTGGTATCAATTTTTAAGTATATATGGTTTGTCTGTGTGAGGAATTAATAGATTCCTATATATCAGTGGTAATTTCGTCTGTTGCAAAAGATTGCACAATTGCTTGAATCCATGATTCAGAAATCAAACCATATCTCTAATTACTATGAAGTTAAAAAAAAAAAAAAAAAAGTAAAAATAAATGTATAATTCTTATTTGTTGCCATGTTTACAACTCAAAAATATTCTATATACAGATCAAGTAAAATGTCCTACAATCTTTTGTATGTTTAATAACGAATCGTAAGCTATTGGCTGGAAAATCTGTGTAAAAAGTGTCTCTCGGCAGCTTAAACAGAAGAAGTGTGTTGTGAGGGGGTCGTCTTGTTGGTGGTGGATAAGAGACTGATTCTGGTTGCTGTCGAGTGGCATATACTGTGACATGATAGCCATGATCTCCGAGTCCATGTAAGACTGCATACAAAAACACACACGTACTTACTATATCTATCTATATTTGCAATAGAAAACAAATAGACTTGCCCGGAATCTGTATTTGTAGAATATGTAATGCCAAGGTAAGAAATCCCCCCAGTTTGGAGCTGCTGTACATTGATTTATTCACACAAGATATATAAATAGGAAGAAACTAAAATTCCTGATGATGATGATGATGATGAGTATTGAAGAATCAAGAATACGAAAACTTACCGATACAGGTGTCCTGCTCCTTAATGTAGAGTTTACCTCTATTACAGTTGCAGTCAAACCCACCCCATGTGTTCTTAACATTGGCAACCGATACCTTCCTTGCATTCATTCCTCAACATTACTAGCCATGTTTTCATAAAATAAAAGAAATAGGTGAAACCAATCAAGCGGAAACCAAGCGGGCAATGGCACGTACCCCGTTAAATTCGATTCCTGACACATGTCATTATTTAGTTAGTTAGTTGTTTCTTTCAAAGAAAAGTATATAATGAAATCCCCCAAGTATAGTTTGTTTCACTGATGAAAACTTATTTCCATCTCTTGTATCATTGTCCACCGAACATCTTCCCGGTCCAACAGCTGCAAATCCAAATAGATACTAATATATAATATGCCTGTTACTATATTTTTGGAATCCATATATTATAAGTTATATATACATATTTTCATTTTTGCTGGTTATTATTTTTTCAATCGAGACTTTTTTTGTTTCCTGACAACCACATTCTGATGTGAATCAATTAATATATAACGTGACTTTTATGGAGGAGATTGATATTAAAGAGGATTCCACAATTTTGACTACCTTTTAACTCAAGTAACTCAAGAGTCTTAGACTTTTCGTCTACTTATGTTATATAGGGAAAATTACATTTTTCGTCCTCATACTTTACCCACTTTTTCAAAACTGTCCCTAAACATTTTGCAGTTACAATAGTAGTCCTTAATCATGCCATTTTTTGACAGAATTGTTCCGCCGTTAATTTTTACAGTTAAGTTGGATGGAAAATGGCATGTGCCTCTCACATGCCTTCAATTTACAACACTACATGAAAATGCACTTTCAACAACACACATTGCGTCTTGTTAAAACAAATTTTTTATAATTATTATTTTTAATTAAAATTTAATATAAAATCAAAACCACGTAAATTCCAAAAAAATCAACTTGTTTCAGATATATTGTTTAAAAAATAAAAATATAGTTTAAAATTTTAAAATATTGTTCTAAAATTGGCATTTTTGGAATTCAATTAAAATATATCGTTTCAAACCAAAATAAATAACCCGATAGGAATTGGGGATTTAGATATCTCCATTCCAATTTTCACGTCTAGTCAATTCCAAAATCCCAATTGTGAGACAATATGTCGAGTTTTAAATCATTCAATATGAAGGAATTTTCTTATGCTGCCTAGTTTGACCGAATTTTTATATTATTTTAAAATAATATTTTCATTCAATTTCCAAAAAAATCGATTTTAAAACACAATATTATTATTTAGAAAATATTATGATTTTTAAACAATATTTCTGAATTTATTAAAAAAGAAATATCAAGTTTTAGATTATTAAATAAGGGTGAAAATTGGAACGGAGTTTTCTTACTCCGCCTATTACGATCAGAATTTCATGTTATTTAAAACAATAATTTTCATTTGGATTCAAGAAATTCCGATTTTAAAACATTATATTATTATTTTAGACAATACTACTAAAAATATTTTGAAACAATTTATCGAGGTTTACATTATTAAATTAGGGTAAAGATTGAAATGGAGGTTTCTTATCCCACCTATTCGGATCGAATTTTTATTTCATTTTGAAACAATGTTTTCATTTGAATTCCGAAAATCTTGATTTTGAAAGCAATATTTCATTTTTTTTTAAACAGTGTTTCAATTGTTTAAAGAATATTTCTCAAAATATTTTAAAACAATATATATCGATTTTGTTTTTTTGGAATTTATATAATTTCGAATTTCAATCAAGTTTTAATTATGAAAAATATGTTTTAACAAGATGCAATACGTGTTGTTAAAAGTCCATTTTCATGTAGTGTTGTAAATTGAAAGCATGTGAGAGGCACATGACATTTTCCATCCAACTTAACTGCAAAAATTAACGGCGGACCAATTATGTCAAAAAATGGCATGATTAAGGACTACTAATGTAACTCCAAAATATTTAGGGACAATTTTGAAAATGTGGGTAAAGTATGAGGACGAAAAATGTAATTTTCCCATGTTATATATATATCCCGTGAAGGTTTTACGTTTCTTCCTTAATATTTTATATATACCCCCCATCTTTCTCTCGCTTAGCAGAAAACTCTCAAAACGGGGTCAATTTGTAATTATCGAAAAAACTCCTACCTGACTGAGAAACTTCCGGAAATTGCATCATAGCCACAACGAGGAGCCAAACTGTAATTATTGAAAAAATTCTTTCCTGCTGTTAGAACTTTCGTAATTGCAGCAACACCCACAATCTTTATCTATCTTCACATCCGACCGCCTGCAGCTTAAAACTCTTAATTTTACGTCATCTATTATTTGTGAATCCACCAATTGAAGCATTAAGGAAATGATTTTCATTCTTTCCTTTTCAACTTGGGTTCTGGGAAGCTTTATTGTTGGAATCTCATCTTCAATGAAGATGTATATAGAGAACTTAAAATTATTGACGCGGGCAGCAAAGGATTGGTCATCTTCATCACTATATGGCTGTAATTTAAAAAAATTAATATACTGATATAATGCATAATGAATTTGCATACATGTTGACAAATACCTGAATATAATGCATAGCACGGAATTTTTGTATAAGTTCGTCATCACCCGACACCGTCTTAACAGTATAAACGGACCAATTCTTGAAAATGTTCATTGCACCAATATCTACTTTGAATATAAATTCTTTGTCGATAAGTGCATCAAATTCATTAGGAACTGCGTCAGTCAAATCTTCCTATAAAAAAATGGGTTACCATTTATTATATGATAAATGGAAAACATTACATTTGGCTTAAGATTACCATTTCATAAGCATATTAAATTTAATATTACCTTTTCCAAATCCCCAAGAATGTCTGCAGCCTTCTTGCCTATGATCTGGGTAACAACTTTATCAAACATCACTAATGAAATGGATCCAGTAACATCAAACACCAATACCTGAATCCGATATCTGTAGTAATAATTTGTTTATATAAACATAAAAAAATTTAATACATAAAGATGTTTGTAGCAAAATGAAATTTAAATTACCTAGGGATAGCAGGAACATTATCGATACACTTTTCACAATAGAATTGAACACCATTACAATCAACTTTCTTAAAACATTTTGAGCATGATGGATACCACCATTTACTCTCACAGTCTATTTCTACTACTTTAGCAAGCAACGCAACATAGCGTTCCTGAAAAATTATTTTACATTAGTCTTATATGATTTATGAAATAAGCCTACAAAAGGTAATATACTTACACTTGTGCAATCCATTAAATCACTGATTGTCATATGTTCTGTCTGAAGTAAATCATCAGAAATTCCAATGAACCGCTGAGTTGATAGTTGACTAATTGATTGAGAAAATGTTCCAGCTTGCATCATCAATCTATATTCATGTACAAATACATAACAACAAATTATGAGATAAAATAAAATTTAAAATAATATTTGTTATGTTGAACAAACTCACTTTTCTCTGTACTCTCTATGTTCCTCTAAATTTTCATTTATTAGTAACTTACTGCTGTGGAAAGCATTGGAAATACTATTCCTGCCTACAATGCAAATAAATAAAGTAGATCATTAACAATAACTTAAACTTAATCCAATCAACATGTAAGTACTTACCATTGAAACTTTTTACCATGCATAATTGCAAAATAATAATGATAGGGCTATCCGATATGTCATTGATCAAATGTGTGGACAGTTCCTCAGCATATTTGTCCGATAGAGCACATCTAAGTTTGTTGCGACTGAAAATAACAATTGAACATTTAAGAAATAAAAATAAATATAAACAATAATAAATTAAACAACGGATACTTACGATAAGTCTTGAAGGCCGACTTCCAACAGCTTGTGGCTCCGCCCATTTTTGTTTAGTTATCTCAAAGCATCCCTTTCAATAATATGTCCAATAACATCTAAAAAGAAATAATTGTTATACACAAAAATTGAAATCTTTGGTATAAATTAATGGAACACATAATCTAACAAAATGAAATTACCTATAAGCCATGTATCATCCCATTCATTAATGATATCATGGAAATCCGTAAAATTAAAAGTGACAACAAAAATATTTTCAGCAAGGAAATCAGTTACTCGAGTAGTGCTAATAAACACAATCTTGTGAGTATGGCGAGTTGATCTGAATTTTGGATCGCTTGGAGCCGCCATAAAATTTTGAAATATGTAGGTATTACCTTCATTCACAATAAGTTCAAACTTTTTCAAGGGATTACATTTTATAGAAGCATGGATCTTGTCACCCTAAAAAAAACATTAGAAATTATATCAAAATATTGTTTTAACCATAAGCGAAATAAACGCGTAAATAAATAACGACCTTATTGTCTATTAAGACCATATCGATACTGATAATTTCATTTGGATTGTTTTTGCTAGGAACTTTCCAGTCAAATCGACACGGCTTAAGATCAATGAGGTTGGTCGTTGTTTGTGCCATTTTGGTCGTTTTTTGCGCAATTCTATATGAAAATCGAACAATATATTAAGGATGTAAAGAATTCAAGAAAAAGAAATGGAATTCAATATATATAATATAATTGATCCCCAGTAAATAAAATAAATTTGGGTGCATACAAGTCAAAATGATGTTTTTAGTTTCTGCACCGGATTCCGACCGAACTATTCTACGGTATTATCCCTACGTATCTTTTCTATTCATCACATGTTTATTTCATTTTTGAGTGATTTTGGTTTTGGTAGGAAAAGCGGCTTGTTTCTTGTTTCCGGAGCATTTATACTGGCATTTAGCTCAATTAAGATCAAAGTTTAACAAATATTGAGTTTGATCAGGCTACTGGCATTTGCACTGGAACGAACACCTGTCAGGAATAGGAATATTCAGGCGGTAGTTGAGGTGAGGAGAAGAAGAGATAATATTTCAACTTATTTTCTACTTGTGCATTGCATTTAGGGGTGGAAATTGGAACGCAAAAATTTCTGATTTTCGAACGATTTTTTCAAGAGTAAAAAGCAGTTTGCCCCCTAAACTAGGAGCCGTTTTGCACTTTACCCCCCAAACAAAAAAATTTTGCACGTTTTTACCTGAACTCATTAATTCGTTGCACGGTGCTCCCTAAACTAATTTTTCCGGCAATTTTGACCGGAATACTGAAACATGTGCATTGCACGTGATATTTGCAGGGATAAATTTGTCCATTCACATACATCCTATATTTTAAATATAAATTAATCGTTTAAATAAATTAAATAAATGTATTAAGACTTAATTGGATATTCATTTTTATATGCGCAAAAAATCGAACACCAGAAAGATATCAGGCAAGTACAAATGGCGGCCACAAATTGCCTTCACCTTCCCGCCATGGCAACTTCACACACCCAACCAGGAGCTTCGCTGCAGTCACCCGCTCCTCTCTCACAGACCAATCCCAGTCCCCCTCCTCCGTCGCCGCCAAGCGCCACCTCCTCCGCCTCGTCTCCGATCAGGACCACGACATCAAAACCCAAGCCGACCCCCAAAAGCTCTCCCAAATAGTCGAAGCAATCGATTCCCTAGCCGCCGTCGGCCGCGGCACCGTCACCACCGACAGATCTCTGTCGGCCACGTGGCGGTTGCTCTGGACCACGGAGAAGGAGCAGCTCTTCATCGTGAAGAACGCGTCGTTTTTTTGGCTCGATGAGCTCAAGAGTACGCCTTTTTCTTCTTCTCTCAATTTCATTTGTGCGCTCAATTGTTCGTCGATTTTGCTCAATTGTTCGTCGATTTTGCTCAATTGTTCATTGATTTTGCTCTGTTGTTCGTCGATTTTGTTCTGTTGCTCGTCGATTTTGCTCTGTTGCTCGTCGATTTTGCTCTGTTGCTTGTCGATTTTGCTTAATTGTTCGTCGATTTTGCTCTACAGCTCGAATCCGGGCTATTTCCTGGAGGATTCGGAAGTGGTTTGCAGGGAAGGATGATAGCTTCTTTTTCCTTTATTTATTTATTCTTTTTTTTTTTCTTTTTTTTTTTACTTTTTTTTATATTTATTTGTATTTAATATTAAAGATGCAAGTGAAGGGACCTCAAAATCTCACGTGGAAAGCACATGTTTTAACTTTCCGGTTAAAATTGCCGGAAAATTGAGTTTAGGGGGCACCGTGCAGCAACGAATTAATGAGTTTAGGTAAAAACGTGCAAATTTTTTTTGTTTGGGGGTAAAGTGCAAATCGACCCTTAGTTTAGGGGGCAAACTGCTTTTTACTCTTTTTTCAATTCGGATTTCCGAGATTCCGATTTTCAAAATTTCCCGATCCAAAATTATTCCGATTATTTGCGATTTTTTCCGATTTTTGCCGAATTTGTCCGATTATTTTTGATATTTATTATATATATATAATGATTATAATATACATACATATATATATATATCATATATATGTATATCAAAAGTATTATAATTATTTGAAACCCTAATTGCCCCCCTATCTTTCTCCTCGTCTTTCTTCAGCCTCCCCCAACTCTGCTTTCTCTTTTTTTCCACCACCGGCGCCCGTGTTCTCCGACGACCACCACCAGCGCCGCCCGTATTCTCCGATCGACGACCACCACCACCGCCGGTCTCTCTCGTCACGCTGCTCCTCCACCCACGTTCGTATGATTTAAGACTTGAATCGTTTTTTAAGTTGTTTTTGAAGAATATTTGTTTGGGTTGTTTTTCAATTCAGCTATTGTTGGGTCTGTTGCTTTGAAGAATATTTGTTTTGAGTTTTTTTTTCCAATCTTCTGCTAATCTTCTGCTACTGTGTCGGTGGCAGTGAGGTGGCAGTGAAGGACTATTTTTTTTTTCTCAAAAAAGTCTGAAAATTCTGAAAAATTCCGATTTTCCGAAAATTCCAAAAAAATCGGAATCGATTCTTGAATTCCGAACAAATCCGAATTGGAATCGGAAGGCATTTTGGACTTCCGAAAAAAATCGGAATTTTTCCGAAACACCCAAATCCGATCCGATCTCCACCCCTATGTGCATTCAATGCATTCTGACTATTTCCTTGTTTGTCTTGTTCATGGTGTTCATAGATTGAGGATGACAAGATTATAGTACCCCAAAATTCGTTGATTGAAGTCAATCAGTCTGGTCTTCTCATGGAAACTTTGTAAGAAAATTAGTCCATCTTTCAGCGGTGGAGTATCTCGGTATTAAAGAATATAAACATAAACCAACCATGTAATTTTCTTCCTTTCTATCTTCCCGCTTCACTTCAGCCCCAATGCTTAAAATTGATTTTTTTTTTTAATTATCTTTGATTGGAAGGTCACGGATATGTGTGAAAAACTTGCCCAAGTATGTGGCAGAGGACCGTCTGAGAGAGTTCTTCTCCCAGAAAGGGGAAGTCACCGACGCCAAGCTTATGCGCACCAAGTGAGTTTGTTCTTCAAACATTGCCACTTTAATTGTAATTTAGGAACTCATAAGGAAACATTGTTTGGTTTGGTTCAGGGATGGGAAGAGCAGGCAATTTGGATTTGTTGGATTTAGGACTGAGCATGAAGCCGAGAAAGCCACAAACTACTTCAACAAGTCTTTCCTGGATACTTGCAGAATTACTTGTGAGGTCTGTTATTTCTTTTTAAGTTTCAAGCTTCTGAATTAGGAACCACTTTAGTAGGAAGTAATGGTGAGATTATTTCGTCAAACATTATAACCGTCAATAGCCACAGTTGTAGCTGGTAATGTGTTCTATTGAATGGGGAATTAATTGTACTGCCTTTTCTCAATCACCAAAACGGACATCATGGAAAGGTTGTGACCTTTCTAAGATCTGCAATTGACAGTTCATTACTAGAGAATTATAAAATGGTGTTCACACTTCACTTAATTACAAGAGGAAGCTAAAAAACTTGATTTTTTTTTGTTTCATAAAAACTAACATGTAGTAACTTTTTGGTATGGTCGTCGCCAGATTGCTCAAAAGGTTGGAGATCCCAATATTCCCCGCCCTTGGAGTCGACACTCATTGAAGAAGAAGAAAGAGAATGCTTCTGAAGAAGAGGAAAGATTAACTGGTTCAGAAAAAGAGAAGACAACAACCAGCTCAAAAGTTTCTACTGTAGTACCTCAAGGGACAAGTAAGAAGAGTAAAAAGGATGAGGAGATCGATGACCCTAAACTTCAAGAGTTTCTTCAGGTCATGGAGCATCGTAGCAGGTCAAAATTGTGGGCAAACGATACACTTGCAGCCCCCTCTCTTCAGCAAAGCAAAGTAGCAACAGATAATAAATTTCATATGGCAGAAGGGCATGATGGCAAATTAAATGGAGAGAGTGCTGATCTTGAGGAAGTTAAGGGAGACGGAAATGTTTTATCAGAGAAACAAGAGCCAGAAAAACCAAATATTTTGGTTCATGATGAATTTGTATCCGACATGGATTACTTTAAGAGCAGAATTAAAAAGAAATGGTCAGATTCAGAAACTAGCGACAGTGAGGGTAGTTCTGATGGCACTGATCATGGTGATGGTGATGATAATGATGACTGCAGTGACTCTCAGGACAAGAGTAACCATGATCCTACAGATAATAAACTTGAACCTGCAGTTCCCAAAAGCGAGGTTGATGATGGCTCTTCTGGAGAATGTGGAATAAATGGCTCAGGTAATCCTTCATCAAGTCCAAAAAACAAGAATGATGAAGTTCTAGAATCTGGTCGTCTCTTCATCCGTAATCTTCCCTACACTACCACGTATGTACCATATTATTCAGGCCCGTATGAGGACAACCTGTTCTATGATATTAATGTCTTGCATGCCCCATCTTTTTATCCGTTATTCAGTTTGTGATTTTCATTTCACGGAACTTCCTGATGTACGCAGTGAGGAGGAACTGGAAGATCACTTCAGTAAATATGGGACCATCTCTCAGGTCCATATTGTCATTGACAAAGACACAAGACGTTCCAAGGGATTTGCTTATGTTCTCTTTGCACTCCCAGAATCTGCTGCTAGGTATTATTTCATTTCCCGACTCAAAAACTTAGTTGGTATCACTATTACTGATCATGCTGATGTATATGATTTGAAGAATTCAAGTTCCAATGATATTTATATTCAAGCAAGAAATCAGTACAATGATCTATTGTAAACCTCAGGGCTAACCATTACTAAATATACTTGTTTAGTGATTTTCTTTTGGCTGAGGTCAGTTCGACCTTTTTCAGATATAATTTTAATTTATTTAATATGCGCTCCTATTCTTGTGCATGTAGATTTGCAAATAGGAAAGTTGCCATAGTTTGTCCTTTCCGTTCCTGATATTATGTGTTTTTTTTCTTCCAGGGCATTAGAAGAGATGGACAGTTCAATTCTTCAAGGAAGGTTATTGCATGTCATGCCTGCTAAACAAAAATATGTTCCTGATATGCAAGAGTATGCCTTTGGTTACAGATTTTCAAGTTACATTTCTTCTGTTAATTAATGGGAGTTAGTCATAGCATAAATATTATCTTTATGCTGGATCTCATTCTACAGACACAGTATTGCTGGCAATCTGTCTTCAAAAACGTTTAAGCAACAGAAGATTTCGGAGAGGAAGGCATCAGAAGCTTCTGGAAATACACGGGCATGGAATAGTTTATTTATGCGCCCTGATACTGTAAGTCGGAGAATTTCTGATATATAAGTCAGCGAACTAAATATTAGGCTTGACACCCCATATATATTTGCCCCTCTAGTGACCGCAAAACCTTTTCAATAAAATTGGTGTTCTTAAGAATATGGAAGAAAAGGTAAAAGTAGAGCCGGTTTATATCCATGATAAAATTGCCCTCCTGTCCTGGACCCTTTTTTTACTCATTCTATAACTGTGGGATTGGGTTACTAGAGCATGAGAGTTTTGATCCACTATATCCTATTTCTATGTTAAAGTTTATGGGTTAATGTCGGTTAATGTTCTTTTCTTCCTTTTGAACTAATAATTGACGACCACTGTTTGTAAAACTGCACAGGTTTGTGCATTAATTTTTTTGGATGGTCTATCATCTTCTCTTCTCTTCTAACCCTTCATATTGTAGGTTGTCGAAAACATTGCACGGAGAAGTGGTGTCAGTAAAAGTGAACTACTAGATAGAGAAAATGATGATCTTGCTGTGAGAATAGCAATGGGAGAGACTCAAGTGATTGCTGAGACAAAAAAAGCTCTCGCAGGTGCTGGGGTTAATATTTCCTCTTTAGAGAAGTTTGCTGATGGTAAAACTGATGGTCTTAAAAGAAGCAACCATGTTATATTAGTGAAGAATTTACCTTATGGTTCATCTCAAAGTGAATTATCAAATATGTTTGGGAAATTTGGCAGCTTGGACAAAATCATTTTGCCTCCTACTAAAACCATGGCTTTGGTATGGACTGACTTCCTTTTTTTCTTTTCATTGTTATTTTGTGTCCTGTTTTTTCAGCTCATGCGACATTTTTTTTAAATTCTGCATTGTGTTAACGTCGCTCAAGGTTAAAGTTTAATATATTTTCTTTGCATACGGGATCCCTCGTTGTTTTAACTTATTTCCGACAAAGTATGTTCACGTTTAAGAACTCTTTGATTCACCATTTTATTAATCATTAGTTGGTCTACGGTATTAAGCAAGAATCATAACTATTGGATAACTATTGGTTCTCGGATAGAAATCTGAAGCTCAGAATTCATTGGATGCCAACAAACTACATTACTAGTATTTGTATATTTATTTGGCTGTATGATTCTTTGTTTTGGGCTGACATTGAAATACCTGGCAAATGGCTTGGTTTTAGTTGAGTTTGGCAATATGTAGTATTGGTATGAGTCCGAAATATAGAGGTACTTGCTTGATCCTTGTGTGATCAAGAACAATGTCTAATGACTCCGACACATAGATATGAAAATTTGCTGATTTTATTGTAATCGCAACTTGAACAATGCAACTATCTTTCATCATGCTTCACTGGCGGTTTCCTGGATACACCTTGTGCGATGTAAAAACATTTGTGCGATGTAAAAACAGCATCTTACAATATTCAATTTACCCATAATATGTCATATATATTTCTCATTGGAACTTTTGATACCAACCAGGTTATCTTTCTAGAACCTGCTAACGCTCGGGCAGCTTTCAGAGGTTTAGCATACAAGCGGTACAAGTAAGTTGATTTAGCAGTTAGTTGTTAGCGCTTTCAAATTGTTGTATCACATTGTGTGTACTATTATTGCATCCAATTTGATGGTACCTTATTAAGATGTTAAGACTATGTCGAAATAGAACAGGTTATTGAATGAAAATGGAGAACATGAGTGAATCTTGAAAGATCACGATGCCACGTATGTCGAGTGATATCACAACTAAATTGGTTGTTATTTTTTATGGGATGAAGACTTGGATTGTAAAGATGGGTGTGTTTTTGCTTTTTCTTAATTCCATTTAGTGGATACTTAAATATTAGAAGAGCATTAAAGATTTTTTAATGATTTAAGCTTAGAGATTTTGAATTCCATTTTTCCAATTTCAGGTCGGTTTTTGTTTATTGTGAAGTTGATTATATTATCCTCTTATATCGCAGGGATGCCCCACTATATTTGGAATGGGCACCTGGTAATATTCTCAGTGAAACTTCAGCTGTTGGTGATAATGAAGTTGTTGGTGGACATGATGTCAAGAGAGCTTTGCTAGAGCAACAAGTCGAAGATACTACTGATGCAGATGTTGACCCTGATAGAATTGAGGTTATTTTCTGGACTTAGTTTTGTTTAGCCTTAACCTTAGCTTTCCTTGTAAAACATGGAAATTTCACGTAAAATTTCTTATATGCCTACTGGAATTGTTTCATGTATCTTCTGCCGGAAGCTTACTCAAAATAATGACTTGCCTATTGTGATTTCTGTCGAATTGCTTTAAACTGCTATGCTGATACTATGCTTCTGATGAAAAAGGGAAAAAAATATGTCTAAGCCGACTTTATTATTTTCCCGAACTGTTGCATGAGGTGGTGTCCCGTGCTTCATTTAGTTGCTTTAGAGTCCCGAAAATGTACTAATTCAGGTGTTAAATTGTTGTGATATGTTTTGTGATGCAGTCACGCTCTTTGTATGTTAAGAACCTGAACTTCAGATCATCTGATGAGAATTTGAAAACGCATTTCGCGGAGCACATGAAGGGAGGGAATATACTAAGTGTCAGGGTATTCTTTCTTGTCTCTATCTGCTTCAGACCACAACTACTAATTGCCTTCTCTATATGGTTGCTTTTACGAGTTTCATTCTATATGCTACTGTAGGTGAAGAAGCATATGAAGAACGGAAAAAATGTTTCCATGGGGTTTGGTTTCATAGAGTTTGATTCTATTGATACAGCAGTGACAGTTTGCAGGGACCTGCAGGTATTATTCTCGGCTGCTAATAGGAGAAATTTTATGTCCATTGTCTTTTACTATGAAACGAGTGCCTTACCCTTGTGATTATTGCTTCAGGGAACTGTATTGGATGGGCATGCCCTCATATTACAACTCTGTCATGCTAAAAAGGATGCAGTATTGCCTAAAAAAGTTGAAAATGACAAGAGTTCTACAAAGTTGATTGTAAGGAATGTAGCTTTTGAGGCCACAGAAAAGGATCTCAGACAACTATTCAGTCCATTCGGACAGGTATAAACTCCTTTCCCTCTCGTCGTTAATTGTTTTGAATTATAAGGTTTTAAGCTGTGCTTGTATTGTTGCAGATAAAGAGATTAAGGCTGCCAATGAGGATTGGGAAACATAGGGGTTTTGCATTTATAGAGTATATGACGAAACAGGAAGCTCGGAATGCACTTGAAGCTCTTTCCAACACCCATCTCTACGGTCGTCACTTGGTACGTTTTTTAAAGTGAAGACAAAAAATGAAATGTTTTGCGAATAAGTTGAGTTGAATACTTACTGTTGCTTGGTTTGCAGGTTCTGGAGAGAGCCAAGGAAGGTGAAACCTTAGAGGAATTACGGGCTAGAACGGCTGCTCAGTTCACAGACTCCACTAACTTATCCAAAAAAAGAAAGCAGTTGCCCGTATTTGATGAAGGAAATAACGAGTTTGAAAGAATGGTAGATTAGAATTTTGGGTTGTCTTTGTTGTCAACTATTTGTATTACTGAAATATTTTACAAATTTTGAATTGTAAAAAAAAGGACTTATGAAAACGACATCAACTCGATCTAACGAGCGACTACTCACTAGTTTTATCTCTATTTCCGCTCATTATCGTTTGAGCATGGAGGAAATGATAATTGGGAGGAGGGAGAAAGCTTCAAAATGGGGGAATTGGATTGGGAGGGTTTGTTGGCTAATGTCTCCTCTTTACCTAATTTCCTTGATTTTCAACTTCATTAATCTCTCTCTCTCTCTCTCTCTCTCTCTCTCTCTCTCTCTCTCTCTCTCACACACACACACACACACACACGACTCCTAATTTTTTTCCTCTATTGTTTGTTGTTTATGTTTTGTCTTTCTCCCTCAATGCATGCATGCATGAATAAATCGCTTAAAGATGTTAGCTAGCTATAGAGGGGAGTACATTTTGGCTGCAGAGATGTACATTTCATGTATTCCGATCCTAGGATTAATGTTAAAAAGTACAGAATATATATAGTGACATTGATGTGTAGAGATTACAATATAAATATATATATATATATATACTTGTTCAATTGTAATTTTTTTAGTACTATTTTTGTATAGATGGATAAGTAAACATGTGAAGATGAAGGTATATAGCTTCAAAAGTTTATGAGTTGAAGGAGATCAATTTGTACTATCAATATTGTATAATATATAAAATTTGTTAATAACCTTAATTTTCCGACTAGTGATCTTCACTAGTGAAGCGATGATTTTAAGCTCGCGGGACCAAAGTATTAAAAATATTATAGTTGGGGGATAATGTTAATTATGTATGATTTTTTAAAGATCGTTAAAAAAAAATAGAGAATCGAGGATTGTTAAAGGGGCCATGGCCACCATTGACCATATGCCGACTGTTGATCTTCCAAAAATGATTTGCGCTATCAATATATAATACGATTTCTATTAATTTCAAGAGTAAATGAGTGATAACCCCTAAATTTTGAAAATATATATGAGGAAGTCAAATAAATTTTTCTGTTCTAGTCAAAAACTCAAATTCTGATCTTAATTAGTGAGACCCCCTAGATAACTTAAAGTATTTATTTTGCCCTTTTAGTTTCAATTCAATACATGCCCTAACACTTTCTGTCTCTTCACCCACACCCACAAACTGCCGTTACGTATCTCACTCTCTCTATCTCTGTTCATCTCTCCCTTTCTCTAACTCTCTCTCGCCAAAAAAAAAACCACTGCACAAAAAAGTCTCCGGCGGCGGAGAAGAAGCCGAAGGCCGGCAAGAAGCTCCCTAACGACGCCGGCAAGGCGACCTTCGGTGGAGAGAAGAAGAGGACGAAGAAGAGCATGGAGAAGTACGAGATCTACATCTTCAAGGTGCTCCGTTTTCTGCTGATTCGTTTTATATTTCTCCTGCTCCGGTCCGTTTTCCCCGTTTTCGTTTTAGATTCGTTTTGTATTTCCCCTGCGGATTTGGGATCTGGAAATTGTCTTCTATGTTATGACATGACTTCATAGTAGCTGGCAAAATGTTTATTAATCGTCACAGCGTAATGCTACTGTAAGGGAGGTTTTGTTCATTACTTGATTTAATTCACCAAGTTTCTATGGTTTGTATTAGTACCAATGTGGTATATTGGAAAGCACAAAGCCCAATAATTGTGTTTGATTTTTTTTTTCCTGTTTTTTTTTTTTTTTTTTAATAAAGTATAATGAATGTTGCAGCAGCATCTAGCAGGGACAACCGAGGAAAGCAGAATGGAGCATAATTCATTATCTTAAACTGCTGCGAACTTTTTTGGTAGTGTAGATGAATTTTATTCATATACATATATAGTCACATGTGATCGTATACATGTAGTCATATATAGTCACATGTAGTAACAAGAATGAACATAACTACATGTGACTATAGTTGACTACATATAGTCATATCTAGTCATATGCAGTAACAATAATGTACATAACTACTTGCGACTATAGTTCACCAAAGTAAATTTATCAAAAAAAATGTCTTTCATTGATTTTTTTTTGTATTTTTTCATGTAATGTAATTCGCATGTTCCATTTTGTTCTTCATTTTCTTTAACTTGTATTTTTTTGTCACAAGTTTTGCTTTGTAAAACATTACGAGATGCAAAGAATAAGATGCAGAGAATTGCCATGTGAAGTTGCATTCATGCTACAGTACTGCAGACTTATGTCACTTATATAACTATCGATAATTGTATATAACTATAGTCACGTGTAGTAACATATAGTTATATGTATGCTATGTGTTTTTTAATGTATAGTAATGTGTGTTCATGTTTGAAGATTATATGCATGTGATTGTGTTTTATATTTCTTTTTGGGGTAGTTGATTCATAATATCAAGATTAAAATTGTGAATTTTATTGTTGGTGTAGATTAATTTTGGGGTAAAAAGGGGTAAAAAGAAAGTACATGAATACATATACATATACATGACTGTGGTATACTATAGTTACGTGTAGTATACTAAAGTCATGTGTAGTCAATTTCAATACAGTAAATTTATCAAAAAAAAAATTACAAAAATATATATAAAATAAAAATATTAAAAAATACAAATGAGGGTATATATAAAAAATAATAATAAAATAAACATTTATATTTTTTTATTAAATTAATATATAAAAATGATAAATGCAGGCCCAAAAATGCTAAATGCAGTTGGGCATTATGCTGAATGCAGGGGCAAAA